CGGGGCTGCGGCTTCTTGGGGGAAATCGCGCACGGGAGGTGCGAGAGCATCGCTGAGGGCTGGCCCGGGCTGCGCAACCTGGGGGGTTGGCGGGGAGCGGGGGGGAGCCTGTGTTTTGTTTTCCTTGTACGGTAACTCACCAAGGGGAAGGCTAAACAACTAAGAGCGGAGTCAACAGATGCAATCCCTGAGGGACTGCACCAGTAAATGAGGTAAAAAAAAAAAAAACAACTGAGGACTGGTTGTTTCCACTACTTGTGCTTGTTAGGTGTGACTGGAGGAAGCGATGAAAGTCAATTAAATTTCCTCAAGTGGGGCCATGAAGCTGTAAGTAGTTTTCACTTTTTAATATCGTTATTCTAGGGGCGTTTGGCCTCTCAGTTAGCAGGTGTGAGTGTAACCTGGGCTGGGAAGTTTCAGGATGATGCACTAAAATAACACAAGTAACGGTTTCTGTTCCTAGAAGCTGGAGAGTTTTCCTGTTGCCTGCCTTGTTCAGCACCGGGCTGCAGAAAAGTCATGATTTATGCCATGGTTTTGTCGTTTGCAACTGGAGAAGGAAATGTATTTATAAGATCGCTTTATATACGAAGGCTTTGGTTAGGTAATCCGAGTTGTTGTATAAATAACTGTAGGTCTGTTTGGGCCCCGTGCCTCATGGCACATGCCGGTTCTTGTATCCTTGGAGAGGATCTGCGTTTCATTCTGTAACGTTAGTTATTAATACCTACCAGCGGTCGCTCTGATGCCGACCTCGCCTGGGACTCGGCAAGCCTCGCGCTTGATGTGCTACTGAGGTTGCTGCTTCTGTAGTCACTGCTGATGTGTTGCTTTGGAGGCTAAAGCTGGCTACCCGTTATTTTTGTCATAATAAAGTCTCTGTACGGAGTAAATGGCGTTAGGCACAATTTTAGTTATTAGATGTTATAATTTGGGCCGTTTCCCATGTGAAACGCTTTGAGAACCGTCTGAAAAGACATTTAGTTCTTAGTGAAAGTAGTATTCCTTATTAGCCCTGATTGTTTGCTAATTAGCAAACAGTTGAATAACTGTTGCAGAGTAACACCCTTCGGTCGTTCTCAGACTGTCCCGGATCTGACTGAGCAATGTGGAAGCAGAGATCTCTGTCTAGCACTGCTTGCCGTGCGTCCAGCCCGCTGGATCCCCCATACGCGTTTGGTTTAAACCTGGAGGGCTGTTTGCGTGGCTGGGGGGGGGGGAAGGTCCCTTCCTCCCACGGTACCTGGGAGTTTTGCCCATTTTTGCTGTTTGGCAATGATGTGCTTGTTCGGATTGCGTAGTCTTTGCAGAAGAAAATAAATTGCAAGCCAGGGGTATGCCACACCTCAAGAGGTAATGAGAACTTCCCCTTCTATCTCAGCCTCCAGCACTAAGTGTTTATTATAAATTGTTAATGCTGTTTGATGATCCCAATGATAATTTCTTGCTAAAGTAACAGTAACTGTTCCAGGCAGCCTTGAAGGGATCAAAGGCTGATTAATTTTTTTTTTTTAGTGTTCTTTCTCCTCATGGTTTATTTCTTAAAGAGGTACGTTGCCTATGGCAGACTGTCCACAAGTAAGATTCCTCTGATTAAATTCCAGGTGTGAGTTTTTAATAATAAAAGAGCAAGAATATTGCAAGAGTTTGAACTGAAGCTGTAGGGGTCTGTGACAGTGTCCTTCTGTGTCAATCACAGCTATTAGTGATAGCTGCAGTTGTGAAGAGAGGTTATTAAAAATTGGTATTTAATAAAATATGAAAATACTAATACTTATTTACAAGTAACTTGGATTTACTTTTAGGCTTTCTATTTTTTTTATAGCTCATTTCTGTATTGGTATAGCTTTATTCAGACTGAAATTGAGAATTTCTTTGCAAATTTAAAATCTCTCTTACGGGGAAAAAAAATAATTTTGTTCCCTATACGCTGCCTTTAGCATATTATTCCAACAGCCTGCTGCATATATCTGTCTGCTCAAAAAATCCTAAACTCCGCGCTGTTTCTAAGGGAAAAGATGATAGTTATGAATTGCTTGAAATTAGAACTGGGTTTTGCTTTTAATCAGAGGCCCAGCTGATACCTGGCATCTCTGTGTCTAATCCCTTGGAATAATAGAATATTTTGCAATTGCCTAAACTTGATTTGAAATAAACTTGAAGCTTTAAAACCTTTCAAGGAAGGGGAAAAAAAAAATATACATATCTAAAAGAATGGGCCATTTCTGGAACGTGGACTTCGAATGTTGATGGCAGCATCGGGTGAACCTGCAGCACCAGTATTTTGTAAGCAGTTTGACTTTTAATGAATTGAGTTCCAGGGTGTGTTTTCCCCGTTCTTTTTAGTCGAGTTGTTAGAAAATGATGTGATTGCTGGATCCCCAGACCTGAAGGGCTTCTCTTTCTTAATGTGAAGTGCTGACGGCAGTCAGTGCCAGGGAGGATGACTAAGATGCTGGAGGAACAAGGTGGGTGGAGGTCCATCTGGTAATGAAGCAAACATTGTTTTCCTCCACAGAGAGGAAGTAAACTAGGAAATATGAATGGATTTTTCTGTCTAAATATATATATATGTATTTAAAAATAATAAAGGTCACATGAAAAAATGAAGCAGGAGCTCTAAAGAAGTGATTGTGCTACAGTGTAGAAGCCTTCGAGTTGCACAGTTGCTCAAGAATTTTTTCATTTTTGGTTGCCTGCCTCGATTTGCACACCAACAGCCTGCTGCAAATTCACACTGTGGGGTTTTAGAACTTGGGAGAAAATTCCAGTGGAATGGCTAGAGGTGGTGGAGTTGGGCTTGCTCTGGCGTAAGCAGGGCTTTGAGCATCTTTTCACGGGCACCAAAGAATAGTTGGAACAGAGTCAGTGTTTTCATCATTAAAGAATATTATTTCTTAATATAAATTATTCCTATGGTTAATAACAGTTTTATGATTAATAGTGACAGCTGTGATACAATCATCAATTTGTCTTTTTCTTTCGTAATTGTATTTTCTAGGCCTTGCCTCTGCATGTCATAGAGCCTTTAGATGAGGGACAGCTCCCAACAGCAATAGCAGGGGAGAAAATGCAGCGTACTCTGTATGTTTTTAACATCATCTGAGGTTTTGGTGTCCGGGACATTGTTTTTCTCAGTGCTTTCTCAGCAACTGCATACATCACAGTGTATTAATATTTAAATATATATCCCCAGCAATTACTGTTAATGATCATGCATCTGTTGTATGAGCAAGGTGTTGGTTTTGTTGGGGGGTTTTTTGGTGTTTTGTTTTGTTTTAAATTCGGGAGGAGTAAATTGCGTTTCTCCTTTCTGAGTTTGATTATGAAATGGTATCAGAAATGTCACATGAGGAGTCTGGCTTGGGGAGAAGCAAAACCCAGTTCTCTCGAGTTCCTAGGCAGAACTCTCACTACAAAACCATTTTTTCTTCTTACTTTAGTTCTCTTCAGCTAATCTTGAATGCTGCAGACACAGCTAAGAAATAAAAGACAAACTTCTTATTCTTGCTTTGCCTCTGGATCACAAAATGTGCTGAAAGTCTGTTTTCAGTAGATGTAGTGAAAAGAATCTCTCATGGAGCTGTTCTTTGACATTGCCTGGCACAAATAAAGATATGTTTTGTCTCTGTTAAAAGGTTCACCCATGTGATGGGTGAGAGAGGGCTGGGAGGTGGTCTGCTGTAGCCAGCACCTAGGGTGGTGTAAAATTTTCTTTTTTTTTTTTTTTTTTTTTTTTTTTTTCCCCCAGCGCGTTGGGTGGGCAGGGTTATGGGTCATCTGCGAGAGATGCGTCCGAGGCTGTGTTACACCTGCCCTATCCCTGTCCATCTCATTTCAGTGCTGTCGAGCTAGCTGCTATTTAGAACCCAGTATTAATGAGCCTCACTGAGAAATCTGGCAAGAACGGCCCGTTGATGAAGTTATCCAGGTCCCATGAATGCAATGCTCAAAAACCCCAGTAAGAAAGCTCATTCCACAGATGCCAGTTGTGTTTCTTGTATTTCATACAGTCTTTCACAAGACTAATAGTAGTGTGAAATATACCCCGTGATGGGACAATCAGTATTGCTAAATAAAGCGTGCACTTCCTCGGTCTTGAAATTTTACATTATTTCAGATGTGACTTCTACCTTCATGTTCAACAGGGAAGCGATTGGATAATTTTTTTTCCTGTGCTGTAGCTGTGGTAAGAGCCGGTACGTGGTTGGTGGTGAAGACTTGATGTTAAACTGTAGAGCAGAACTGAAGCGGGACCCTCAGCTCCTTTAGGTTGATAAAAGGTATTAAGTAAAAGAGAGAGGGAGACTTTTCCTCCCTATCAAGTGCAGATTGTGAATGTTTTATATGGCTGTAGGCTGACTAAGACCTTATTGCTAAATGAAAGGTAATGTTCCCTTCGCTAATGAGTTTACAGATGTTGCTTAATGCTGACAGCTGCTTAATACCGATATGAGTAGGTAACGCGTTTCCTTGACTTTCACAGAAGGCCTGGAAATTACTGCTTTAATCTGGTGTTTCCACTACGTAATTAATAAACCTGTGGGGGAATATCTTTAGGTAACTTTCCACGGAGGAACTTTAAAATGACACGTGATATGACACGTCCTTGAGGGTTATTATACTAGCATGTGGCAGGGATACGAATTGTAGATAAGATAGCCAACTGGCTTGAGCACCTTTGGGCAACTTCATAAAGTTCAAGATGCTGTGTGTGACAAAAACTACTTATTCTCTACCACCTCCGTATTCTGTCTTACTTGAAAGGCTGGGAGTAGCTCTAAGGCCCACCATCAGTGAAAAAGAGGAATAGAAACTTCAGTATTTAGTTTGCTGACTTCTATGGCTTTGCAGTTTAGATCCACAATATTTGACTAAAGTGTATCCTATTATTTGCTATTACTTACTTTCAAGGTTCGCGATATCTAATGACTGATCTCTCGCTTCCTCTTTACCCAAAGCATACACTGCTGACGCTGAGTTCAGTTGTGGGCACAATAAAATGCGCGCTCATGTATCTGCAGTTGTTAAATCAATGGATATTTTTCAAAATGGAGATTTCGCTTTGTAATAAAGTGGGTTCTACTTAAAGTAAACTGTTAGGGTAGAGACTCGGGGATTTATTTCTTTTAACTGGCCAGTTTTGTTGTACAAATGGAATTGTAATTGTGTTTGGTGAACACAGAAAACAATTCATTATATAATTCCAGGTAGAACTAAACTAAAACTTCTAGATTCTTTAATGCAGTTTCTTTCTAAGCAAGCTGCTGAACGCAGCCCATCAGATAATGAGACTCCGGTTCCTTAAGTTTTGGTGGCATTGACCAAGTTAGGATAACATCTGTGTATTTGCAGCCCTGTAAGGGGGTATTTACAGCCCAGCAAAAGCGGTCAGGGTGGTCCTGAAGCAACATTCTTTCCTCTAAATGGGAGAATTGTCTTTTTCTAAGCTTTGTGGGTGTTCCTTGGCATTTCGTACTTTTGGCTTTTTACAGGATGGAGTGAGAAAGATGAATTTCGGTATCGCCGCAGTAGGATCGCGATGGTTGCGCGTGCTCGGTTCCACCCTGGGGTGTCCCCACTTGGCAGCGGATTCCTGGCAGCCTGTTAGGATTCTTAGCCAGCAGGATTTTGTGACAGGGAACTATTGTGTTTGCTTCCTACGCCTAACGAGTCTTTGACCCAGAAATGCTTCACAGAGACTTTATTTCATGTCCAGCTCATCTTGCACTGCATCTTTTCCTACTTCCTAGATACAGCAGTTCTGAGAATGGTGGGTTTCTTACATCTGCACCGATGACAGTTGGACCATCAACCAAATTCTAAACGTTCTGTCACTAGAGCTGAGAGGCCATGGGGTATTTGCATTTCACTCATTAAGCAAGTGTTGCTCTGACCTCCTTAGACAATAAAAGAAGAGGATTTCTACTGCTGCTTGTTGGTCATTCTGCTACAGAAAATGGGGGAAGAGTGAGGCATCTGAGAGCCTATACTTAAATGTTAGCATATTTAATTCTGCATGAAGGTTACCTGGACTGCATTCTGCCGTCAGCTGCCTTGTGCAGCTTTTAGAAACTAGTGAAAATGAAAGCAGAATTTGGCTTTTAATTTGACTTCTGATCTAAGCCTCTGATGAGTTTGGCCAGAGGAGTGGCGAGTGCTCACAGTGGCTTATCCCAAGGAATAGTCAACATAAATATCCCGGTGTAGGCACTTTCTTTAACAGGGACTCTTGGGTTTAAAAATCTGAACATTTCTGCTCTTTTCTTGCAGATGGGTCTGATACTGGCCTTGGTGTGTGTGGATGGATCCTGGTGATCACTTCACTTTTTTTCACTATTCTTACATTTCCTATATCGATCTGGATGTGCATAAAGGTAAAATTGTTCTCTGCGAAGTTGGATTAAAACTTTAAGCAATGCAGATGCTTCCTAGTGGTTACTAATGTTCTCTATTTTACTTGTTTTAAACGTAAATTAATGTAACTCTGTTGGTTCTTGAACTATAGCAGACCCCAACATTTCAGTGCATTAATCTTCAAACCAAAAAGAAAAGTGCAGTTACAGGATTTAGTCAAAACAGTTTTTGCGTTGACATCTTTACTCCATCTACCCATTTGTCATTTAAGCTAGTTCGGAAAATCAGAATAATTGCAAGGACGCATGATTACTCTTGGAGGACTGATATATTAATATTTTTTTAAAGGAGATCTATCCCTATATATGTGTGTGTGCAAATATGAAGTATGTAAATACTCAATTATGTACATACATGTGGCTGCATGCGACAGATTCTTAGAGAAGGTGTCATCTGTCATCGCTTTCAGCTTGATATTTTCACTTTCCAGACCAGCGGAAATAACTTCTGCTTTGTTTTGGCGGTAACACAGCATCAGAATTGGAGCTGGAAAAATCTCTGCTGGGTCTCATATATTGCACTTGGTTTTGTTGTTGTCAGGATATTCCCGATGGCTGCTTCTAGTGCTTGGTCCTGCCCAGGTGACGTCCTGTTGCTTCTGCTGTTGATAGATGGTGCCACAGCTGAAGAATATTTCTTGTGGAATATTGTCCTGATTGTTCCTTTTGCTGTTTGCTTTTTGACAATAAAGTTTAGGCTAAAATTCTCAAAAGCAGACGGTATAGAAATGAAATGTAATGTACGTTAGCCTTGAGACTGAAGACTGTGTTAGGCCAGTGTACATATAATTTGGAATCCATCACATGGCTTCTTGCATGACATCCAACTATTTATTACAGATTATAAAGGAATACGAGCGAGCCATCATATTCAGACTTGGACGCATCCTAAAAGGGGGAGCAAAGGGACCAGGTATGTCCTGGAGAGCATTCTTACTATTTGTTCTAATGAAGTCATCGGCAAAATAATAGCTGTCTGGAGACATTGCATCAGACTGGCGAATGGATGTCTCAAGAATTTTGTAACTTCCAGTAAGAGGTTATGTTACTTTATATGGAGACGATAGTAAACTGATTATCTGTGAGCCTTACCCAGATCTCCTCAGTTAAATTATGGTCTTCAGGTAGAATCAAAAGCACAGAATGTAAAGGGAGGAATAATAGCATCAAACGTGCTGTTTTTAAAAAGAAGTTTAGTATGTCAGTTAAAACCCAAATGGTCTGAAAGCCTCGATGTTCTTCAAAAGAAATAGAAGCAATTAAATTGATAGTTTTGAAAAGTTTCCTGTGTATATTAGAAATTCTGGTGAGAACTGACAGAATGTTCTTTTCAGCTGCTGCTCCTGCTGCTCAAAATGACAGAAAGGGGCAATAGCCCCTTCCTTCATCTTCATCCACATTTTGCAGTCATAGAATCATTTGGTTGGAAAAGACCTTGAAGGTCGTTGAGCCCAACTGTGCCTGTCTACCACTAAACCCTGTCCCTAAGCACCTCGTCTGCCTGGCTTTTAAATACCCCCAGGGGTGGGGACTCGGCCACTTCCCTGGGCAGCCCCTTCCAGTGCCTGATAACCCAATACTTGTACATTGCTGTAAAGTTGAAGAATTACAGTGATCCACCAGAACAAAAGGAGGTTGATGGTTTCTGCTTGCCAGAATTAGTCCCCCCAAGTAACTGTGGGACAGATTTTCGAAAGTGGCCGTTAACAGTTCTGGGTTGGTTGGGTTATTTTTCCCCCCCCAAATATTAAATACATCTAAGTGAGTTAGACCTGAATAAATCGAAGTTTCTCAGCATACTTTTTTGAAAATCTTGTCCTGGTTTGAAAGCCACTAACGAAGACACTGCTGAGCTCGTTACAAAGAGGGCTGTACAGCTACACTGGGTGGAGTGACGCTTATTTCAGTAGCGAGTTTCACCTGGTTTAATGACCCATTTTCACATCTTCTTGAATGGATTTTTTTGTACAGGTTTGTTTTTTGTCCTGCCCTGCACAGACAGCTTCATCAAAGTTGATATGAGGACCATCTCTTTTGATATTCCTCCCCAAGAGGTGAGTTTGCGCTTGCCTTTGTATCTGCTAAAGTGTTTGCAGAATTTTTTGGACTTTCTTTTTCCTTTTCCCCTCTCAGTATTGGGTAGCATGTACTTCTAGTGTAGATTGCTTGTGCAGGTTCAATGTCTTGTGAAGGGTACATATATCCTTTAGTAATACAATTCAGTAAAAGATCACTGAAAGAAAACAAATTATGCTGTCCTCTGACCAAAAAAGATAACTTAATGCTGCTGAAGGGCTAGAATGGGAGGGGTCTGGATGAAGACTGTTGGATTTCATGCCACAGTCTGTAATTTTCTGTGAAGAGTTCCAGAAGCAGCAGTGATCTCTCCTGTGCCAATTTATCTAGATGTATAAAATTATTATGTACATCAAATGCTATTAAAAGCCACTCGGGATAATGGCCCACTCCTCTACGTGGGTTTTGTGTATGTGTTGCTTCTGTGTCCTGCTGTGCAGAGGAATGTGATGAAGGTGTACTGCACCTAGTGGCATCTGATGTCTTTGTTTGAAGGCCCAAAGAACAAAAAAAATTACTTGTATTTCTAGTCTGTTTCTCCTTGGACATCTTAATTTTTTTTTAGCAGAATCTCTCCATGGCATTAAGCTACCTGAACTCAGTGATGCCCACTCAATGGCTACAAAAAGAATAAAAACCAACTTGCCCTCTAAAAATAACTTAGTGAACAGTTGTATGTTGGTAACTGTCCCCCTCATATTTCTGGTGTATTTTGCAAGTCAAAGATGCTTGATGCAACCTGTCTGGTGCATCTGTTTCCTGTCATATTTGCTAGTGGGTTTATTGCTCATCGTTAGTTGTAGATTTAGACAAATGGCAACTGTCGTGGTACACTCAAAAGGGTAATTGGTAGAAACCTAATCACTGGCAGGCAAAATGGGCTTGCAGCTGCTGATGTGCCATTAGTGAAGCCATCAGTGCTACAGTTTTTCTTTTGACTTGATTAAATTATGCTTATGGATTTAGGTTTGTGTTCTGTAGGTAAGAATTCCACAGAAATATAGTCTTTTATTTGTGCAACACAATTTTTGTGCATGCTATTCATTCTTTGTTTATCTGTGCCATTATGAAAAGCCTGCTAAAATGGGTAGTTTGGGGAAGGACAGAGCAGGTAAGTCTTGAAGGTTAAGTAACTCGCACATCCCCTCTCTTGCCACACAATAGTAATGGTCTAACATGGAATTAGGATGCCTCTTCTCATGGTTGTGCGGTGTATTCAATCTCTTTTTAACTTAACTTTAAAATATAATTAACATTAATGCTTCTTTCTGGTGTACCCTCTTCTAAACCTTCAAGAATATCTGTCTTTATCTTTGCAAGTCCAGCCTTTGCTTAACATACAAGCGTTAAATTCAATGTATCACTTGAATCGAGTTCTGAGGATTTTCACAAATTGGCTTACCTCTGCAACTTGTCTAGAAATCACCACATACTCATTTAGTAGCACAAGGTGGCATTTCAGTCAGAGGTACCTCCAGGAAGGACAAGGAACTGGTAGATAACAACAACAATTAATTAGAAATATTTCTGAAGCGAGGCTGATACCCATGCAGCTGAAATCCATCAGGCCGTTGGGACAGGCAAAACCAATTTTGTAAGTAGCTAGATGTACTTCAGTGAAACCTTCCAGCCTTTTCTGAAAAACCTCCTGGGCACGGCGCGGTTCCTCTAAGCTTCCTTGTACACTGACATCCTTTTTACAGACTTTCTACAATTCCACAGTCACTCACACAGCCACTGCTGTGCTAGAGCCTCTGGCGCTGGCCATTCCTGTGTTAGGGGGTAAGCAGCGAGAGCTGCCTGCAGCGTGGGGAGCCCTCACTTGTGGCGTTTCTCTGGAAGTGCAGCTGAAATACACTCCCTCTTCCCTCGCCTGCTTTTCCCCTTGTTTTATAAACCGGCGTAGCTGCAGAGTTGTGTCTTGCTAAATCAATAGTCTTGGGACTGAAGTGAAATAGAAATGAAAATCTCACGTGTGCAATGACACACATTATTAGCCTTTTTTTCTCTGTACAGAAGCATCAGGTGAGCCCCTCATAAATGTTTCCAGTGTGCACGCTTGAGTGCTGTGACCCATTTTTAACGCCCTGGCCCCGTATCCCCTCTCTGCATTTAAACAAAACAACTTTCAGTGCTAATGTTCTTGGAGCCTTTTTTGTTGCCTCGGTCCGTCATTGCACATACCTTTGGTGTTCCCTCTGCCTCTTGCACGCCTGTTACCACAGGCCTCGCTGAAATACTGGGGGTGCGACCTGGTCATGATACGTTGCTGATTTCAGAATAGCAGGTTAAAGTTTCCCAGGTGAAATGTACTTCTGTGTAAATTATTTCTGATTTTTTTTTTTTTTTTCCTGTCACTTGTATGAATTGCAGATCCCTCTGGGAAGTTGAAGAAATAAGTTAGAAATAACATTATGGCAAAGCTAATGGAATGTATTTTTCAATGAGAAGTGTTCTAATCCCATATTTAGTCTTAGCTTCGCAGAGCTGTACTGGAAGGCTTGTGCATCTGCACGTAGCCCTGTTCACGTGCAGCATATGTGTGTAAGACCTTTGGTTTTCAAGACAGTTGCTTTACCCTGGAAAAACTAGGAGTCTGTCTAGTAAAACCAGTATGTATTTATCATCATAATTAACCATATATTTATTGAATATTATGTGCTTTCCCCATTGCTCTTCAGATCTTGACCAAGGACTCTGTGACGGTTAATGTAGACGGCGTGGTTTACTACAGAGTTCAGAATGCCACCCTTGCTGTGGCAAATATCACCAATGCTGACTCGGCCACCCGTCTCTTAGCACAGACTACTTTGAGGAACGTTCTGGGGACCAAAAACCTCTCTCAGATTCTCTCTGATCGTGAAGAAATCGCACACAGCATGCAGGTATGAGCAGCTTTACCAAAGCAATCCATCAATCAGTTCAGCAATCCCATGGGTAACTTACAGGCCAGGATTTATTTTACCTTTCGAAGTGATAAGCCAAGTTGTGATGTGGAGCTTTAGGCAGAAGCCTACCAGGAGCCACTGGGATGGCATTCCGCGTGATAAAAATGAGTGACTATGGCAATAACGGACGAAAGGGGCTGGTGAGTGGGGATGAGGGGCACAGGAGAGGAGGGCTCCCCTGGATCACTATGTCAACACTCCGCTGTTGAAGGAAATTATGCCACAGAATTCCTTCTATATACTAATCAAGCTCTGGGGTTTTTTGGTAGTTTCCAACAGTTATGCTTTTATAATTATCAAATCGTAATACAAATACTAAAGGCCTAAAAGAGAATTCATTTGGTTTATTGGTCATTCTTCGAGCTTGGACATTTGTTTGCAGCCAGGTTAGATGGCTTAACTTAATTTTCTGCCTTATATAGACCACCCTTGATGAGGCAACAGATGACTGGGGCATTAAGGTGGAACGTGTGGAGATCAAGGATGTGAAATTACCTGTCCAGCTGCAGAGAGCGATGGCTGCGGAAGCAGAAGCTGCCCGGGAGGCGAGAGCTAAGGTAGTAACATCAATGTGTGGGTTTGAGGTGTTTTGGTTGTGGGGTTTTTTTTTCCCTTTATGAATAATTTCATGTGGTGATGTGGAAGATAAAGATTCTCGGCCAGACTGTGTTGTAGCAGATAGGAGTGCAGGGCAGGGGTTTTGTGGATTTGTGTCTGGGTGCTTGCTCTGTTTCATCTTGGATCGTGCAGGTGAGGTTTCCTTCAAAAATGCAAAATCTCAACTTTCTACCACACTCCACATCATAAACGGAACAGTTTGAGGTTATTAGCTGGAGCCTGCAGTGAATTAGAAGCCAAACTTACTTCCAGCTTTTTCCTGACTAGCCCTGATATTAGGCAAGTCATTTGTTTTCTGTTTGTGACTTCGTATGAGAAATCAAACGGGTGTGATATTTAGTTTTGTCACCCTTAAGATGACTGCTGATCAGTTTGGTCATGACATCTGACTCCCTTCTGAGGTGGGAGGAGGTGATACTAAATATTCAGGTTTGGAGTAGAAATCCTCAGGGGCGGTTAGAGCTGTCCTTTTCTAGGACAAGGCACGGTCAGCTTTCTCCCTTAGTGCCCTCTGCCCTGCAGTGTCTCCTCTGGTCGTTTGTTAATCCTGTCTTGAAAGCTTATTTTAACCTCTGTAGGTGCAGCTGTAGAGTCTGTTTTTAAAAAACAAACAAAACCCCCTAGCTGTCCCAAAAACCCCTTTATGATGGACTGAGCTGATAGATGAGGGCTTCTGGCAGATATTAGTGGTCTGTTGAGCCGGCTGCCCCTAGAAAAATGGAACTTGCGTTCCAAATACTGAAAATTTGTCTTGGCAAAGGGAGGTTTACTAGAGTTCAAAGAAAGCCATGAAAATTACATCTTATCTTATGATGTTCATCTCCCATGCACGTGTGTGAGTGATTTTTATGCACATATATACGACTGGTTTTCATATCCATCATTAATTAGGAGTTTCATTAACTTTAGGTTCTAATTCAAAAATTTGGGATTTATTTTCATGGGAAATAAATGCTAAACTGAATTTCACTAGACTTCGGGGCTAGCACTTACTTCATGTGAAGCTGGTGGTGCACCTAGGAAAAGATCTTTAAGCCTACGTTAGTGCCCTGAGCATTAACTTCCACGTATTTTTTTTAAGCTTAACTTTTTTTTGAAGCTTACTTTGTGATTATTTTTTTTTATTATCATTTATTCTGACATTTAGAAGAATATTGTGCCCTTGCAATAGACCTCTGTAGGGGAATATGTGCTCGCCTGTGCTGACACGCCCGTAAATCATAGAATCATAGAATCGCTTTGGTTGGAAAGGACCTTTGAGATCGAGTCCAACCGTTAACCTAACCCTGCCATCCCACCACTAAACCCTGGCCCTAAGCACCTCATCCATCCTTCTTTTAAATACCTCCAGGGAGGAGGACTCGACC